CCACCAGGCATTGGAAGTTTAGCACAACCTCCTCCACCCCCACCACCATCATAAATTGAACGTCAACTAACAAAAACAAATCAATTTAGTTTGTCAATTCTCGAGTAACTTTAAAAGTGCTACAATCAAATTATATAATTAAAACCACATTTTTTTCTTGTCATATAAAGGAACCCTCTACCTTATTAAAATTTCATCATATTTCTCTCCTAAACCTAACTTATATCCAAAAAGTATACAATTTGATTTTGTATACAATTACTTTTATAAACCTTCTTACTTAATTTTAAAAATTATAAGCATCTATAGAAAGAAAATGTAATTTCTATAACGAACGCTGCTATCATTTAAATTATAAATATGTCTTTAATTTAGACACCCTCCTAGTGTTTAGTGTGTAATAAGCGTGATAACATATAACAGCATTAAAACAAAAAACAAACAAACTTTGCCATTAAAAACAATAATTCTTAAGTGTTTGTCAAATAATTGGAAATTGAAAGAAAAATAACAATGAATTTCTGCTGTTGTCGTCTATCTTTTGACTTGGATATCTCAATTATAATCTTACATTACGATATAACAACATATACATATAACTTTATTTCAATAAATCATAATATAGTGACGTTAAAAATATAAATGTGTTTTTAATAAAGTGAAGAGTGGTAACATATTTTCATTAAATTAATATAAAGACAACTATCTAGACATAAGAAAAACCAAACTAAAATAATAAACAACACTATCCAGAAATGTTCGCAATGGATCTTCATCCCTTTTAAAACTTTTTTTACTTTAAAGTGTTTCATTCGACGTTATTGTGATTTAAAAGTGAACTAGCTACAAAATCAAAAAATCTGTTTATATTCAAATGGTTCACAATATGTGCGAACAATTAAAATAAATCACAACTTTTCTTAGACAAGAAAGTGTCGAAGGTGTTCCCCAAAATGGTGTCATATCTCATTGTCTTAAAAAAAAAAAAAAATACAGAAAACAAGTTTAATTTTGTCTACTCTCAACTAAACACCCTCAATCACCTTAATAATGCCATAACCTCAAAAATTAAGAGTTCGCGTCTTTATTTTCATCAAAATTCCAACAATCATTAGTTTAACTTTATATACTACAAACTATTTTCGGTCTTAAACTCAATTTAAAAAATCTATAAGCTCAACAGTTGAATGAATTATACAGGCGCATATCGCATCATGTGATCATATCACCAAACAACATTGAAGCAGATTCAGAACTGCTTAACACGGAGAAATCTACCAAAAACTTGGCCCATGCAATCGCTCCCATACAGGTAAGTGAACAAATTACAGTAGTAATAGATATGACCATGATCACAAGGGACCATACGTGGGCTATGTAAACAAGGTAGACTCAAAAAAATAATACCTCTTCATTTTTCGGAGTAATATTGAACTGTCGCAGAACGAATTATACCAAACCACACAAGCCACACAAAGAATGTTCAGATTCTTCAAGTATACCAAAAAGGAATCTTATCTCATTCGGCCAGAGCTACAAAGCTGTAATCCCTTCGTAGAGCAATCCAAACAAAAGCGGGTTGTGTGTAAAGGATTATACCGTTGAGGAAAAATCCTATGCCGCTGGAAACAACATGCCCTACACGAGGGATAGCATATCTCGAAGATTATGACCATAGAAAACTTCACACTGCACTGTCTTAAAACGCAAAATTTGGTGTATAAAATCCTACGTCATTTTACTAATTTTCTTGGGAACCACTAACAGGAGTCACTCGACTCAAAATGCTCTGCCAGAGCTATGGCATATCTACTCAAACAAATCACTCGGGATCGTAGAAAACCTGACACAGGATGAATCAAGAATCAAAAGTTTTCCTAGTTTCATTCCTTCAACTCCTACGCCAAAGTCTCAAAATCAAACCTGATTATATTGACGACTACTCTTTTCACCTTCTGGACGCGTGAGTGGAGAATATAATTAAGTATTAGAATGGATGACCGAAGAATTCCGAATGTCCAACTGTGTTCGACAACTTATTGAATTTTACCAAGCACACCAAACTAAAAATAAGGTCCTGAAAGCGCTGCATGTCATCGATCACCCGCTTCGACTTCTTGTTTAAACGACACTCAACGGAATAATCTTCAAGTCCTGTGGATCTTTGGACAACATTTGTGAAATCGGCCCTATTTTTACAACTGGCTACCGATAACAAAACTTCCCAATCATATGTGAACGCCGCATTTATTTAACCATATAAATGTCAAATGGCAAGGTTTCCGGGGGTAAACTGTGGACAGCGGTGAAGTCGCTTTGAAACCTTGGTTAGAATGGTTTCACATTTAACTGACTCAGCCGAAGAGATGTGTAAGTTATTTTAACCGATAGTTTGCCAATCATCCTGAAAGCGACCGGGCGAAGCGTACTACGACGTATAAGTAATCTTCCCGCCGAGGAGGTACCACAACAGTTTATGGGTAATGTTGCATGAGTCATCCGTAGCGTAAAGTTTCCAAAGCGATGAACAGTGACGGGGAATATCCATGGTTGTGCTGAAATAGCTGAACGAGCCCGGAGTTGAGTACCTGACCAAAGCCCTTAGTTTGTAACCATCCACGTCGTTCCCGAAGTCTGGACAATGGGCAGGGGGTCCCGCTACTGAAGCCCGCAAGGATGCCAGCAAAGGTGAATCTTACAGGCCGATTACACTTTTGTCGCCACTAGCGAAGTCCCTTGAGGCTTTACACATCCCCAGCATTAGGGAAAGCTATCCAGTTGCTTACAATCAATAGCGATCGGTATATAGCGTCGGGTCCTATTGTTGAGAACATATGTGTGAGGTTGAACGCCTATCTCGTCGAATTAACAGCCTTCATTAGAGCTAGGAATATGAAAATATCCGCCACGAAATCTTCGGCCACATTGTTCACCACATGTACTTCGGAGATGAGAATGCAATTGAATGTGCAGTTCGAGGGGTATACAATTCCGACCACCAATTACCCCAAAATTCTCGGGGTCGCATTCGACATATTCAAATCGACCGCGCAAACCGTAGCTATCTGCGATAAGTTAAAAAGTAGGTACAAGATACTCAAGTCTCTTGCCGGCAGCACTTGGAGCGCAGATAAGGAAACCTTGTTAACCACTTACAAAGCGATAAGTCGGTCTGTGGTCAGCTATGCAGTACCAGACTTGTCAGAACGCCGCCCTGATAACTGCGACAGGATTAATCCTTATCACACCAGTGAACCATCTTCATGGTGAGAGAGACGAAGATGTTTTCCTTACGTCAGCAGAGCAGTACTTGCTTCAGTGATTTAGGGAGATGTTTTCATAAAACTCCTCCACCCAGGCGTGTCAGGAAAGATCTGCATGATCTTCAGAGAGAGAAAGGTCCAAGTTGCCCATCAAGCTGGTCTAAATATCATTCATACCGATGTGTAACCGCAGCCCTGAGAGAATATAGAATACCGTCCTCCGAACTCAAGAGTTCATATTACAATTTTACCATAACCAAATTCCTATTAAACTACATTTAGAACCTTTCGTACACTGATGACCACAACATCAGTGACCTTAATACAAAATCTCAAGATCACAAAACCAATATTCGCTCAATGTTACCATTTTTTTGAAGGAGTCAAGTCACGTTTTAAAGTGATACCAATAGTGCCTAAGCAGTTTTAAAAAGCTTGGAGAAATACAAGATTCCCAGTTGAAATTAAAAGGCCCCCTATTTCATGAAGTATGAATTTAAAAATTCACTTCGTTGTAATCTGGGCCACTAAAACTACTTATGGTAAAAACTTCTAAAATCGTCTTTATCATACACATACGCACCACTATCGATACACGAGACCCAAAAATAACATTTTAAATTAACTTAAAAAAACACTTGAATTTTATTCAAAACCAAATCGAGATATACCACATCATTCTTACACATTGATTTCGTGAAACAATTCTTAGAAGTAGTTTTCACTCAATCACAGTCCTAATAATCCATCCTCCTCCATCATCTTCTAACCATGTTTATTGAAATATTCTTTGGATTGTTCAACATCGGGTTTAATGGTGTCAGGATTCGATTCGGGATTCCAATTGGCTGGGCATACTTCACCATGTTTTTCCACAAATTGGAATGCTTTAATCAAACGCAAAACTTCATCGACCGAACGACCCACGGGCAAATCGTTAATGGAATATTGGCGTACAATGCCATTAGGATCGATAATGAAGGTGCCACGCAATGAAATGCCTTCATTTTCCAAAAGGACACCATAATCGGAACTGATTTGTTTGGTAATGTCGGCCAAAAGGGGATATTTCAAACCGCCAAGACCACCATTTTTACGTTCCATATTGGACCAGACCAAATGTGAGAAGTGTGAGTCGACAGAGACACCCAAAACTTCGGCATTTAGATCTTTGAACTCTTGAATACGTTCGCTAAATGCAATAATTTCTGTGGGGCAGACAAATGTGCTGTAAAAAGAGAAAATCGAACATACACACATTAGTATGTACATAAATAATGACAATATGATGAAACAACTTACAAATCAAGGGGATAGAAAAACAAAACCAAATATTTGCCGGCATAATCGGAAAGTTGTACATCTTGGAAATCATTTCCCAACACAGCAATACCCTTGAAATCTGGGGCCGGTTGTTGAACTTTGACAGCCAACAAGGGTGAAGCTGTAATATAAACGCAAAAACAGATAATATTTAGTATCAGTGATTAATATTCAGGGCACATTGCCGGGCCTGCCTACTTACTTTGATGCAAAAGACGTCTGAAGGTGTTGTTCACATTTTGTTGCTTGGCAAATTGTTTGCCAATTTGTGGAAGCTAAAATAAAACATGATTTTAAGGTGTTTTTATTTGTTTATAATAATAGAGATTACGTAATAATGATTTTGTACTTAGCAAATCTTATTACATTACTCGCGAAAAGGGAATTCAATTTCGCAAACTGACAAGTTCTAATTGCCCACTAATTGTTTTTGCAGTGATTTCGTGCTGTTTTTTTCTTCTTTTACTTACAGTTCTCAACAATGTTCTGGTCAAGAAAGACATTTTTGTTGGTTTTATTTGATGTTGCTGCGGTACTGATACAAATTTCCTGATGAAATGATAAACTTAGGTCGTTTAATATCATAGGTGCCCATCAGTATACTTTAAAGTAGCTGCCTACTCACACGCATTGTTATGCTCTTTCATTCAGTCGTTGTTTGACAGCCAACGAATGAACACAAGCTAGGGTGCGCGCACGACGTCGTGTCCACACAACTAGAAAATCAACGAAATCACACTTAGGGATAAAAGTATTTCAGTATATTTTTATTTAATTATTCAAAATGAGTTTGGGAAGGCACAATGTTTTGTATGTTTTAAAACTTTTAAAAACAAATATTTAATTATTTCAAGAATTAAATATTTGATAATATGACTATTATCTCAGTATATGCTACTTTATAAACTTTATTTGATTTTTGTAACATATACAATTTGTAATTCATATAAAAACATTTTTAATAATGCTTTTAATCTATATAATAACAAAAATTAAATTCATCGATAATTTTTTCCGACCACAAAAATGTACACACAATTTTGTTCAGTACTGTTCTGTTTTCTCTCACACATACTAACGCATTTCAATTTTGGGCACCTATGTTTAATATTGACCGGCTCCGTCTAATTTCCTTGCTCAATCAGAAAATAACAACAAACACAAGAACAACCCAGAACTATCGTTTAAGACGGTTCACACGTTAACAGCTGTGTGGTATATGTTAATCGATAATTGTGTAAACGAAATATTTGTTGCCGATAAAGTTCAAAGAAATAAAGAGGAATTCATTTGTTTTTATTGAATAAATCATTGCAAATAAGTTATTGCATATTTATATATAAATATGGTTTAATGTTTGATGAATATATTTGAATAAAATTAAAAAATACATTAATTAAATTGTGTGTTTTATTTCAATAAGTGCAAGGGGATTCAAGTATGCGCCTAAAAGTATGCCTGAAATCGCAAAATATCTAATTTATGCACCAAAAATGTATAATGGTTGGCAAAACCGGCAAAGACATGCAAATAGCGCCATCAATTGAATCACATGATCGAAATTTGAAAACTCATTTTTCAAACCAAATATTTACACTGAAAATTTACAAAAATGACAGGCCACTAAAAATTAGAAAATTTCGAAAACAATGATATATAAAATTTAAAATATTTTACATGATTTCTAATTATCATCTACACCACACTGTGGTACTCGACCCTGTACCTGTATAAATGCCCGTGTATCCATATATTTTAGTACAAAATGTACAGGTCGAATAATATGAAATTTGACACAAGGGTGCACCTTTTAGATTAAAATCGGTTCAGATTTAGATATATCTTCTGTATATAGTTTTTTCTGATTTCACAATGGTGTACCAAAGTTCCAGGTTTGTCTAACACGAAATTTTCCACAAATTGAGCATAGAATGAACTGTATTATGTTTGGTCCAGATTTGGATGTAGCTATCATATATGATTTCATGCGATCTAAATGGTGCAAAAAAACAAAATACACCACGTTTGCGATAGCTACATAATGTTAGCCTAGAAGTATGTATAATAAGTTTTCTTGAAATCGGTTCAGATTTAGATATAGCTTATATATATATATATATATATATATGTATACTCAAACCGATTTAATGTAAATTGAGCACCAAATACCCCACGTTTTGCTATTGCGACAAAATGTTGCTCATCGATTCGAATTTAGTCAATAATTATGTGTTTTAATATTTTTTAAATATTTTCAGATTTAGGTATATATTTCTCTATGTTTGGCCGATTTATTTGAAATGAAGCTCCAATATATATTTTCAACCGATATTATCTTATTCGTGTACTAAACAAATCACTTTTATCCGAATCGTAGGAGTCCCTTTTTTATACACCCATGTTAGTGTCGGATATCACATTTTCGGTCCCATTCGACTTTCATCATTTCCCTTGAAATGAATTTTACAGCCACATCCTTTTATTTGCAAAATAAACCTTAAAATAAAAGAAATATTCAATTTTTTCTCTGACAATTGGGTGTCAAATTTGCGTATTTTTCTATTGAACAAAAAATGGTTTAGCCAATTTGATTCATATGATTCAATAGATGGCGCTATTTACGTATCTTTGCCAGTGCTGCCAACCTCATTCACAAAAATGTGTCTGTGCTAAATGTAAAAAGATTTAAAGCATACTTTCAGGCTCCAATCAAATTTATTTTCTTCTTCATAACAAAATTCAAGATAATAAAAAACGTATATGATTTTATATAATTTCTATTTATTGTTTTTATTATATAAAATAAAATTGATGAACATTCATTTACATAAATTAAAAAAATGTTTGAAGTTAACCATAACATAAATTACATTATACATTTGTTGTAAACTATGTATTTAAATATATTATGATTATCAAATTGTTGTATTTTAATAAAAGAAGTTAAGTTTTGGAACAGGAAACAGCAGGTAAAGTTAACGTCTAACCTGCAAAAAAGAAAAAAAATATATTCAACATTTCAAAATTAAGGGGAATTAAGAGGAGGGTGTCAAAATTTTTTTTATTTAATTCGAATCTACTCTAATTCAAGAATGTTCCTAAAAAATTTAAGTAAAAATCTCAAGAACTATTGAAGATATAGCCGATTTATTGTGTCAGCATGAAGTGACGGTAAGAGTGATTCTAAAAGTTTAAACGCATTTTTCTCGAAGCACTGTTTTACGAATGGCGGACACGATAACTTAAAAACCAATAACAGTTATGAACAAATTATTAAGCAGACCGCGTATCCATATACATTTTTGTATTCAGATTTTGTTGTAGCCATGGATAATTAATCTACACACCTACAATTGCTTCCATGGCATACGCATGTTTTTGTGTGGATTAATTATCCATCGCTACAACAAATGTCGAAGCTTTAAAAACTTGAATTTAATTCACATATGCAATTTTGCATCAGGGCGAAATAAATACAAGTTATCAACATACGACATTTGTAAAGTCACATAACTCAATATGCGTGATGAGCCCCTTAACCAACGGCGAAGCGCTTCGTATAATGGTGGGTACGTAGGCTCTTCTCCTGGCTGTTCTTTTCATTTCAAAACATAGATCATTAAGCTTGACTCGAAAGGGTATAAATAACTCACATAAAATGTTATTCAAATTATCCAAATTTAAATAATAAAACAAAAAAAACAGTGAGCGGAGCAGTATAGTCGGACGGGGCCGACCATATGATACCCAAAACAATTTACACGAAAATCTAATTTTCCGTGGTTCTATATTCTGAGCTTGGCAATATTTCGCGATATTTGCACTCTCTTGACCGACTAGAGGTCAACAAATATTACTAATAATCAGTACAGCCCGTCTAATTACTGGTCCAGATTCGCTTCACCGTGGGTTGTGTAGTAATGTTCGGCTGCCAATTTTTTGCTTCTCCCTATTCATTAAGAGTAAGGCGAGAATCTGAAAGCGAAAAAAATTCACAAGCGAGATCTCTCCCTAGCGAATATCTAGAATAAGGATATGCCGAAATTATATTATTCAACTTCTTGGTGGCCGATTTTATTTTTCCCTATAAAGAAATACCAACAAATGCTTTCTTTCCATTTGAGTTACATTATGTTAAGTTACTTAGAATTAAATGTTACCACAAGGATATTAACCTCATTTATAATTTAAATGAATATTCAGGCCAAGTGGTTTTTGCTAAAAGAGTTTCTTGCCATCTCACACTACGCCCCAACCCACCCACATGAGCACAAACCTAATTTAACATTTCGACTGAAGTAGATAAAGCTTTTTAGTTAAAAGGCAATTAGACAATTCCCATGTTTGCGATTATACGCCATTTTTCATGCTATCATAACCTTAATTCTTCTTTTTTTGTGTCTGTCGTGGTGGTGTTTTTGGTGGCTAACATTCGCTTTTGACTTCAAACTTCGGTATAGCCTTTCATTTTGTAATGTATGGAAACAAAATTAACATTTGCCTATTAACGCAACGCCGTTTAATGATGCCGAAAAGTGTTGGTTGTTGTTTTTGTGTGTATTTTTGGGGAGGTGGTATCGTGTTTTTTCCATATAGAAGAAAACAAACATTGAACATCTTCATAAATTAAGCAATAATTGGTGCTTAAAATCACGTTTGTGGTTTTAGGTGTTTACATGTAATGAGGTCTTTGTGGCTTGGGTTTTAATGGAAATAATTACAAAATTGTGGAAGGGTGTTAAGGTACTATGAGATACGGCAAATAAATAAGTGAGGAGTTTTTTATATCCTTCACCACATTGTGGTACAGGGAATTGTGTCTTTGTGCATATGTTTGTAACAGGCAGAAGGAATCGAGATAGACCCATGGATTCTTTGAGAATATGCATAGAATCACTTTCTGAATCGATTTACGCATGTCCGCCCGTCCGTCCATGTATCATCCGATTTGGATGAAATTTGGCACAGTTCACTTATTTCAGATTTAGATATAGCTCACATGTATAGTTTCGTCCGATGTTTTGTGAATGATGCACCAAACACACAATATTTTTCCGATTGGGCCAAAAGCTTGCACAGATATAGCTCCCATATATAGTTTCGTCCGATTTTTTGTGAATTATGCACCAAACTCCCAATATTTGTCCGATTGAGACAAAATTGGGGACAAATGGTGCCACGAAGGGCCTATATTTGTTCGATTTACACGAAATTTGGCAGTGGGTATTCAATTGTGATAACAAAACACAAATGGTGTATGCATCGGTTGCTCAATTAGGTCCATGTGTTTATATATAGCTCCCATACATAATTTTACTTGATTTCATACAAATGGTCCATCAAAGAATCCAAGTCTGTCTGATTGACATGCAATTTATCATTGATTTCAGAATGTTATGTGTATGGGTTTTTTCAATTGGTTCAAATATCTATCTAGATGGAATCATTTATTATTGAGATGGAATCGGGCGAAACTAAATGTACTATTAATTTCGCCTGATTTCATCTTAATGGTCTTCCAAAGTCTCTATGTCTGTTGTATCTGCTGGATATTGT